ACATGGAAGCCACGTGAAGAGAGGTTTCAGTGCGACATGGTTGCCACGAATCAGGAAGGACAAATTCTAAAAGGAGGAAGAAGGAATGGGGATGACGATTTTTTTTAGGGTTTTCAATTTTTTTTTTTTTTTTTTTGTGTGGATAATTATACTCAATCTACGTGTCATCTTCTCATTGGTGAATAATATAGCACGTGTGAATTTGATTTTTTCTTTTTAAAAAAAAAACATTTCAATATTCATATTTGTGAAAAATGTAAATTATCCAATAATTTAAGGCTAAAATATTTGTTTGGATTAAATTTGGAAAACTAAAATTTTATGTGTAATTTGAATTTAAATAATTATTTTAAAATGATGAAATAAAAATGAAGGTGCCACGTAAGGAGGGTGGGCCCACAAAATGAGGAGAGTATATACATTTGTCCCTAACGGTCACAGCCAGCAGAATCGGTTCTCTCTTCAATCTGAAGTTTTACTGAGTCGTCTCTTTCACACCCAGCAAAATCCGGCTAATATTATCAGACCAGTTCAGATCACCATTATCACTTTCTTCTCCCTTCTTCCTCCCCCCTTTCCATGCTTCTACAAACAACATGACCCTAAAGGGCGGCACCAGCCAGGCATGCGCTGCGTGTAAGTATCAACGAAGAAGGTGTTCTTCTGAGTGTCCTCTCGCTCCTTATTTCCCTCCTGATCAACCCAAAATGTTTCAGAATGCACACAAACTGTTCGGCGTAAGTAACATTTTGAAAATACTCAAAACTCTTGATTCCAACCAGAAAGCCGAAGCTATGCGATCCATTATTTACCAGTCTGATATACGTGACAAATCTCCTGTTCATGGATGTCTAGGAGTTACCCAACAGTTACAGTATCATATTTGGTTGGCTGAGGAGGAACTCCGTGCTGTTCATGCTCAACTTGAGATTTACAGACAACAACAACAACAACAGCATCATCAGATTTCTAATTCTTTACCCGAGCATCATCATCATAATCATCATCATGATGTTGTTCCTTCGCAGTTAGATTTGGGAATGGCGCCTCCTACTAATGGACTTTCTCTGTTTAATCATACCTCCAACCATGGTTATAGTGCGGCTTCCATGGCGGTTTCTCACCAGCATTCTTATTCAAATAACAGTAGTAATGTTGGTTATAACTCGGTTTACGTGGATTCTAAGGATAATCTATCGAATCCCTTGTGGGCTCAACATCAATTTTCGAGTCTTAATAACAATAATCATAATTCTATGGCTATTCAATCCCAAATGCTTGGACATTTCTCGCAGCCACTTGCTGCTCAGCCAGATGTTATTCAAGATTATGACGAAATTCATCCATTTTTCGATACCATCGATGACCGGCAGTCTTACATGGATTCGAAAAAGGCTTACGAGTCAAGGTATATTACATGTAATACACATATATATGTGTGTGTGTGTGTAAGAATGCTGATATTACATCTTTATATATGTATAATTGCGTACGCATGAGAAGAACCCATATGAAGTCTTTAATCATGTAAAACAGTACTGAAGGAAGAAGGGACAAGTTTTAAGTTTTTGTTTTTGCGTAAAATCTGAAATTTAAAGGCAAAAGTTTAATATGCTGTGCAGCTCTGAAGAATCATTGAAAGACACAACACAATCTGTGGAGCACCTTGCAGAGAATGATTTGAAGAGTGCAGCTGCATGTTTCAGTCTTACAAGTGTGAACTGATCAGATCAGAAATAGCCAGAACCCAAAAAGAGAAAAAAAAAAAGAACAAAAAACAAAAACAGTTTGATTCAAATTCTTTATTTATTATGTTTTTTTTTTTTTTACTTTTCATAAATTTCTTTCACTTTTTACAGGATAGATTTCACAGTTTTGACCTTGGTGAAGTTAGGTACTTTTACAGTTTCTTCTACGGTCAGTAATTCAGTTCTTGCAAATTAATCAAATAATACCTTCTTTCTTTCTGATAAATATGAGTTCACTGGATGTCTCGTCCTCAAGATTAATTTGCAGTCTTGCTGGACGGATGCCTCTGAAGCTTCTAAAGATTTTCCTTTCTACCAAGAATCTTAATTTTCCATTTATTATAGTCATGCAGTACTTGAAGTATTGAAATTTAATGCTGGAAACCCCATGGGACTACTGGAAGAATTAAGTGTTTAAGTAACTGTGTAAGAGGCTCTTAGTTTTATCTTCATGTCTGATTTATACTTCAAATTTGGGGTTAATTAGTTCACTGGCCTAAAGTAAAATGTGTTTGGCTTCCGAGAAAAAGTGAGAGAAAGGAAAATGAGAAAGAAAAGAGTATTAGTAGACATGTTCCTGACTACTCATATTAACTTGGCCTGTAAGCTCTCCTTGACCATCTGGTAAAAGAAAAAAGAAACAAGGATATGTAAAGGGTTTTTATCAAGAGTGATTTCTAAATTCTTGCAGGTTTTCTCAGTTTCCATGGAAATTAACTCTGAAAGGTTTCCCTTAGATCTGTTACTTTTGAGTTTTGATTATGAGTAAGAATCTGATGGTGCAGCGGCAGCAGCAGCAGCAAAAGAGGGAGAAAGATATTGTCCAATATTGAAATTGTAAGTCATCTACCATTGCTGAAATCAAATTATGGTGAGCTGAATGTATACACAGCATGCATGAATTCTCTTTAGTGCAAAGTGAAGTGGAATGTTAATAAATCCCTCACTTACCTCTCTTATTCACAATTTAATTAAAGATAGAACCAATAAGCCATTAACTGCAGTTATCATACACATTTAGATACAGTATAACATATATATATACCCATATATGTATAACATATCCAATAAGTGTTTCAGATTGATGTCAAACTATCCTTATTAAAAGTCAACATGGACATGGGTGAACCTTCCAAGTGACCAAAATCCTAATTGATGTATGTATATATACATACATCAATTAGGATTATATAAGAAGGAAAAAGTATAGATAGCAATTTAATTTTTTCTTATTATATTGTGTTTAAAATATAAAAATATTTATATAGGAAAGGAAAAAAAGATACATACATATGGTAAATCATATATAAATATATTTATACGCACTTTAAAATTCATATACCTGGCTGAATATACATACACCTTGATATAAATGTATACTGGAGAAAGATTTTAAGTATATTAGCACTTACTAATAGTTAGATTAAAAAAATTCCAGTGAAGTTAATTTTTTTTTAAGGAAAGTTATACATATGATATATTTTTAAAATTTATAATTATAAAAATATAAACAGTGATTACTATAGGCCCACCAAATTGTTACTCCCGGACTCACCATTCTTTCTTCCTCTTCCGCCAATCGTCGACCATTTCTAGCTGTAGCTCTAGCCTCCTGCAGCAGCAGCAGCTCCAGCCACAGGCCGCAGCAACTTCGTCTCGGCCTGGAGCTCGAATCTGTATCCTCTGCAGTTTATGTTGGGTTTTTGGGGAAGAAATTCCGAGCAGACTCAAATAAAAGAAAACCCCCCGTTTTGGAGTGAATACAGAGTTTTTCATGATTCTGGACTTAGTTTTGTGTTTGAGTTTTTTTTTTTTTTGGAAATCTTTGGTTGACACAAACAAAAACGAAGATATTGCCTTGGAGCGAATTCGGGATTTCTCACGATTAGTTTCAGATTGGGTTTTTTGGAACAATCCCAGGTTGACCCAAATAAAAAGAACTCTTGAGTTGGGGGGGTGAATTCACGGTTTCTCATGATTCTTGAGGCTTATTTTCGCACGTTACAAAGATGCACCTTGACACTTTCTTCCTGTTTTGGGTATTAGGTCGAGGAAGAATTTATATTTTTGTTAGCGAATTATGTATGTTAATACCTATATATCTTTCTATCTTTTATTTGATGAATTTGAAGTCAGGAAAAAGGAAACAAAGATTATAAAGTTCGATATATGCCGGTAACATTTGGTACAAAAAATTAAGTGGCAGAGTACGAGGGCCATTTGCTAACTTTCTTACACCTCAATAAAATGGGATGGTGAGAAGAAGGCATTGGATGCTTTATGTACATGATTAGCAGCTGAAGTTTCCATTTGTATCTTTGTGGAGTGAAGGTTTAAAAAAACTTGTATGTATATATCTTTAACAGGATTTAATCTAAAATATGGAACAGATGAATACCAAGTTCGGTATATGTATACATTTGGGATTTGTACAGTTCTTACAACCCAAACGTTAAAAAGTGACCATAACACAAAATGGTTATCTTTTTGGTAATGTAGTCTGACTCCAATAACATAATCAAGTTTATTGTATAGACAGAACACTAAAAACACAATAAATATTATATGTCGAAGTTCTATTTATCCCCAGCTCTACCTAGTTACTATATAACACATCATAGTGTGATAATAATTCCATTGCAACGTTATTTAATTTTTGTTAGATAATATTCTTGAGAATAATGGAATGGTTGTGGAATTTTAAGAAATTCGAAATTCATTGTGTAGCATTTAATTCAATAAGAACCACCTCATGAGCAACTAACTTATCCTTTAACCCATTCCATTATTCACTACTCAAGATACTGGTGTAAAAGATATTGGAATAAAGGATGATCTAAGCACATTATGTTGGATAAACGATGATTAGTAATTTCTAGTCATCATTTTGTATATTTGACTGTGACATCTAAACACATTTCTATATAAGTGGTGAAAATTCTACATTACAGAGTACTAGCATCAAGGAAGAGATGAAATGTATGGCAAAAAAACAAGCAATGGGATGTTAAGTTAATCATTGGATGCAAATGAGTCTACGAGCAAAAAAGATTTATCTAGTAATATCGAGTGATATAAAGGTAAACTTGTAGTTTAGAATTTCACTTAGAAGAAAAATATCTGAAATTTAAAAAAAAAAATTTAATTTTTATGAAAATTTTAAATTCAACTAAAATAATACATTCAAGAATTGGCGTAAACTTTATCAATTTCCTATTTTGGTTCTTAACCTTTCAAATGACGCAATTGAAGGCTTAATCTAGCATAACCATATTAATTTAGTTATTCTACCAGTTTGCTCTGTTAGGACCAACTAAACTACATATATGTCCCCTTATATAAAATATGATAATGTGGAATTTTAACAGTTAACTAAATGAATGAAATCAAGAAATTTATAGAAAGTTTAGTCCTACATTATAAACTTTCAAAGCTCATATCAAAATAGGAAATGAATAAAATGTCATGAATAAAAAATATATATATCTATTTCAGTTCCACCTGAAATTCTATTGGATGTCTATTTTCGTCCTCTACTAATCGAATTATGCATAAATTTCTAAATGAATTTCACAAAAATAACCACAAATTTTAACCTCAGAGGTACATAAGGATATTGAGAATCATGACAAGCTAATACAAATTCCTTGGTAACTAATTTAGGTGGCTGTAGTGACAAACGCATGGCAGATATCCAAGCAGATACTTATTGATGCGAGGAGAATGAAGTGTAGTAGTACATATGCTCATGTATTACAACTAAATTATTTACAGCTTTAGCAGAAATGTGTTCTCAATGAAAACCCAGGGGGTAGAGACATTTTTCTCATTCACTTCAAGTGTCATGAGATCGTGTATTTTATTCAATGTAAGGATTCAGAATCAAAGAGAAGGAATCATACAAAGGGACGGGAGGAATAGGTTTAAAGAATTCTGGTGTTGTAGGAGCCACAGTATGAGCATTTGTGATAAAGCCAATGAAATGGAGCTTCTCCTTTCTTCTCGCAATCGTTACATAGTATAACCTGCAATTGTTTTCAGAAGTGACACATCAGTCAAAACCATGAAAAGCGTATTAAAACATGGAAAATTTATGTTAAACCTGAGTTTGGCCAGCATATTCATCTGGAATTTTCTCATCAGCCAACAATGCGTCCAACATCCTAAAGTATACCTGAAAGAAAATTTAAATTTATAGACTTAATAGTGTTGGTAGTACCCATCCCATTAGAGAAATACCAGAATAACTCAAATTCAAAATCCACATGATGAATCTGAGACATAAGAATCACCTACGATTCCATTTCATGCTTGGCAGCTAAAAAGGGTATATTTCTATAATCTATGCTGATACCCAAAATACACAAGGGCCGTTCAGTATATTAATATATATAGGCAATATTTCATATATATAATAGATCAGAGAACATGATCTTATACTCTCTTTCTAGTTCATGGTCCAGGTAAATTTCGAGTAGAAGGTATATTGCAGACAGGTTATTAAACATACTTCTCTACCCAGGAACACAATCAGAAGGACTGTAACATAAACAATCTTCCTGTGTTGTAAACATCAAACAATCTGGTCCTAATCCAGAGAAAGTAACTGAGGCAGATAACCATTGCAGTACTCTCCTGAGAAACTTTAGGCATTGCTGCCAATATAGTTCACTGGTTTGGATGCAATTTTATTTTAAAAATTAAATTGTAACAATGTTTTCCCATATAGAGTAATATGGCTTAATAATTTTTTGACCAAAAAGTGAAAATTAACTGTCTCCTAAAGACAGTTGAAATATAATGTAACTAACCTGCATGTCGCCAAGCGACTTGCTACAAATAGGGCATGTATAGTGAGTACAGGTGTAGATCTAGAAACAGGACCAAAACCAAAAGGATCAGTAAGTTATCTGAACATAAATTAGAGTTTTTTTGTGAGTAAAGAGGCACTATTTGTCCGAATCTAGTACCTTAAAACAAGTTGAGTGCATCAAATGACCACATGGAAGTGCCTTTACTGGAGAGCTGGATGTGAAGATGTATTCATGGCAGATTGGGCAATTATCCTCCAAAGATTTCTCTACGCATATGTGCACATAAAGAGATCGGGACATGCATGCATTGCATTTCATGCAATGAAAGTAATCAATGCCCAATCCTTTCCCAACTCGGCAGAGGTTACAATATGGGCAATGATAAATTTCCCTGTTGAACATTTACTTGTCCACGACTTCACAAAGTAAGAATTGGTTTCAAAAAATGCCTGATATAGTTAAAAAATCTTGTACTGCAGTGAAAGAAGAGGTAATAAGACTAGCTAATGTAGCCATAATAGTAAAAGAAGAAACTAATATACAGAAATCATATGAATGATTTAAGGACTATAATAAGGGCATATGATTTCCCAATTTTAGGCTTTCCTAATGTGTGCCTCTGTAGAGTCTTCAGTATGAAGTTTGTCGTAGTGTTCACCTAGTTTTTTTTCATACACTGTATAATGGAAGTACCGCATAATTGAACAAATTAATGATCATGATGAACAAGGGTTTCGCTTATATCATATCAAAACATAAAATGATGACGTGCAGTGTTCTATGAATATGAGATGTTTAAATCTAATATACATCCTATGGCACAGCTGGTGCACTTAAAGATCCTTAGCTGCTTCATGAAAGTGAAACATAATAATCACAATGCTCCTTAAAAGTTACAGAATCCCCTCTTAACCTGAGGTGGTGAAAGACATTTAATGACTAAAATCTTGATTGAAAAGAAAACGTCAATTGTCTAGTTGACCTCAAAAAATAAGCTAAAAAGTTAAATTGCCAAAACAAAGTCAATAGGTCATGTTTTCTTCCATACCGATCTAAGCATTAAAATTTCAGTTGACACAAATTTCGGTATGGAAACAACTTTGACCTTAAGGCTAATTTTGGCATTATTTCTTTGACTGGATTCCAACAAGTAAGTTCAGCATATAGCAACACTGAAAGCATAATGAATGTGTATTGTAGAAACCATATGCAATGAATCTACATTGGACATTGTCAATATGTGAATGCAATGAATAGTCAAGCACTTGCTTGGGAAAAACATAAAGAGCAGTCATATGAGAATTGCTGTAAGATAATACATATGTGAATTAGGCTACGTCAAGGCTGTCACGAAAAGGTCTAAGGAAAGAGAGATGATTGGGGCTAGTGTACCTTCCATCATCAAATAATTTGCAGATATTACAGTAGTATTTTCCCATGGAGAAGCTATCACAGGAAAAGTTAGAGCATGTAGGGCCAATTGGCTGGATTGTTAGACAATTCATACACATCATCTTGGTAATTGATTTCCTGCATAATGACAAAACCTGTGAAGAGCACAATGGAAAGTGAAAGCTAAAAAGTGCAGAAGCTGAAGCTTCAGAGGTACCTATCCACCAAGTGATCAGCTGCTTCATCATGGCAACGAATGCATGTAAAAAGTTGGTTGCAACAGGGAGTGAAAAGCTTACAATTCCTCTTGTAATGTTTGCAACCAAATGTTAATTTGACAGAGTCCCGATAAGATGCATGCCGACCTAAAATGTCTTCCCCATTGCTTGAGACATTTTCTTCACTCCGTTCCCTAATAATCCAACGGCTGAAACAGTGTGGATGCTAGTGTCAAGAATCACAGAAAGAAAGTAAGTATAAATTTTCTTGGTGGAAACATGTTTGCCAACAAAATAGTGCTGTTAAAATGCTCATTGAGTTTCGCGGAGATGCCATCATCTTGCTCAAGAGAAGAAAGAAAGGTTACTAAGGGTTTGTGGTGTTTTTTGTCTATGAGCCTAAAATGTACCAAATGGCTGTTATGCAAATGTGAGGTGCTGCAAGATTTTACGTGTACAGAAGGGGTTTGTTTCTTGGGGTAACAGTGGACCATCTCGAATTCTTTGATAAAACTGTAGAAAGATGGCCATAAAATTCATAGGAATGATAGAGGAGAAATACCAACCTCATTAGTAGGTTCTGCATTATACAAGACTTCTTCTGAGGATCCAAGGATGAGTCACGGGATACTCTTCTTATTGCAGCTTCCAGATCCTCTTGACTTATTGTTAGAAGACCCTCATATTGACTGGACTTTTGAATTACTTTAAAATTCTGATTTTCGCTGCTGATCTGTGTGATATCAGCTACTTCACAGGATTTCTTCTTGTCATTCTCGGTAGATAGGCTTGTATATTCTGAACACTTGGATTTCTTCTTGTCATTCTCGGTAGATAGGCTTGTATATTCTGAACACTTGTTATACTTCTGTTCTCCACTATAACCTTCCAACTTATCATCAACACCAGACTTTTCTGAAGGTTCAATACTGGCAGAGGTCTGTGGAAAATTGATGTCCTTGTCACAAAAATTGCCTCTTGGTTCATCATCTTTGTTAGAAAGATATGTTGAGATGATCTCCAAGGGGTCCTCACAACAAGAACGGGGGATATCGGAGGCATCCACCAACTTTTTTATAGTATTTCCCTCCCACCATTCTGATAACCATTCATCAAACATAGTTCTCCTTGTTGTCTGACACCATAAGGACATGACAGAATGCTGTTCTTCTGGTGTTAAAGATGCCAATAACCATGGAATCATATCTCTTAATATTTCTGCTCCCATCCTTCCGAGCATACACCCAACGATCTTTTCTTGCTCCTCAATGGAGAAGCATTCTTTGAGCAAGGACCAAAGCTCAAGTTCTTCATGATAGATATGGTCAGACAATAATTTATGGAGTGATTTGCACAGGTCCTGGAGATTCATGCATAGTTGATGGTTTCTCATATTTCCCTGCTCTGCCATGTCCAAAGCAACACTAGGAACCGATTTGTTCGAATCAGACATCTCATCTAAAATGAGGGATATTTTACTTAAGTGTTCAATTTTCAGTTTGTGGTCAATGGCGTAAACCTGTGTCATGTTTTGGAGTTTTCCCTTTGCCTCTAAAGCAGGAAAAGCTATCTCATCCTCTGCATCACTATGGATCTGGTATAGGAATTGAACAAGATGGAATCGCTGACAGAATTCCCTGAGGAAGCCAATATCTTCAGCTAACCGAACTGAACCAGAGACTAGGTAGTCCAAATCTTTTTTTAGAGCCTTGTGGAAGAAGAAAATGAGATCTACTGGTACTGGTCTCGTAAGAAGAGGATCAGTAGGACTCTTTTCACAACAAAAAGAAGGAAATGACTGTGATAACCTAATTGTTTCTGGGAAAAATATATGCAGATTTACCCCACTATAGTAGTGTGTCTCACAGTTGTTAGTAGCAGAGCCTGCACATGAAGTATAAGAGAAACATTTTTTGGCCTTCTCAGTAGTGGCATGTTCCAACAGCCTAGGGTTAGATCCTCCACAAAGTTGCATAACGGAATTTAAGCATAAAGATCCGGCAGCCTCCTTGATTTGCTCAGAAAAGAACGAGGATCTGCTCTTGAATATCTTCTGCAGTTCTTCCCAAAGTTCTCAATCGAATTTTTACCTAAATAACCAATGCGAAACCACTCCAATAGAAGGGATGCAAAATATTTATTGATTGAACAATTTCCATCACTTGTACAAAGAATGGACTGGGATTCATCCTCGGATAAATGAGATGAAAACCAAGTAATCACGCACTTTAGTAACCCAAGTGGCAGCACATGAAGACTCGTATAAAGAAGCTGCTGCTGCATTTCATGGCTGTAGTGCTTGCTAATGATGGGGAATACCTGATAAAAACTGGACAAAATGTCAAGGAAATGTCGCAAGCATTTAGAAGTAACATATTCAAAGAGAATTTGGAAGACATCTAAAACTTTTTAGTCTAACTAATCATCTATGCAAAGAGTAGTTCAATGAAAGTCTCCTTTTAACTGCAACCGTTAAATATTTCAAATGATAACGAAATAAAAAGGAGCCTACCTCTGTTTCTTGTACAGCAAAGCATATGCTAATATCCACCTCAAATGCCTGTAGTTCCCAGCAAAGCTTCTCCACAAGCTTGCTTGTTGGTAGACCATTTTGAACATCATGATGAAGCAACTGTTGTAAATTCCGAATATGATTTTCTATGGGGAATCGTCTAGGGAAGGAAAACTGGTGACCATTGATTTCGATTAACATAGGGTAAAAGAACTTCTCTAATGCATGGCTGTGAATAAAAAAAAGAAACAGAAATAATAACAGAAAAATTTAAGCACAGTTGTTTCCCAAGCACCCCTATAAAAACATCGAGAGAATATTTGACACATTAATAAAAGATGGAATTGTCTAGTAGAACAAAGCACTTCAGGAAGCGTAATAACTACCTACCTGTAGAAGATAAGAACATCAAAAAGGAATTTCAGCCGGACAACGACCAGGTCCAAATCTGAAAAATTGCTCGAGCATTTCATTTGGGATATCTCTTCCAGAATTTTTCTCAGATCTTTCAAAATTGCACCATGCCAAAGATGAAGACCACCAAGTGGATATTCTCTGACATCTGTATGTAGGAAGTAATCCTCCTTTAAATGCCAATATTGTTCAGAATGCCTCTTCAAAGGATACAACTGGGATTTATTTTTCATATTTGCTGACTTATCAGGACATTGGACTCCTTTGTCAATTTTAGTGAAAGGCCTGAATAAGGATTGACTATTTTTGCCAAGCCAGGAGACAACCACCTTCAAAAATATAATTCAAATTATTCAAATTTGTATATAATTCTACCCATCAGAACTCTGAAATTATTCAAATTTGGGCAAGAATTTAGCATAGTATATACCTCCTGCAGATATTTTTCCTTGGGCACGACTTGTTCGATACAATGCACAACACTCACATGCTCATCTGGAGAAAGAAAAGAGATCATCCATGGGAAAAAATCTTCCAGCAAGATCACAGGAACACTACAAATAAATTGCCACACAAGTGAAGCCTGTTCTTTGGAAGAGAACTGCTGCAGCAACAAAGGGAAAACCTGCATGAAAAGCATAAGATCCAAATACTTGGCTTTTAGCATAACAAAACATATTAATCCATTTAAAGAAAAGAAGGATAAGAATTTATCAAATATACGGTTGGAAATACTGAATTCGAAAACAATGAGATAACCTCTTGACTAAGAATTTACCAAGGGTGGCCAATTCGCTCAGAATTTACTGAGTCTGTCCACCTAATTTGGAATTTTTTGTTTCCCTTCTTCTCTGCATGCCTATGGTTGAAGTAAATGATACTATTCACTTTCAGAGGGTCTGTGTCTATTTTTGCAGATTTTGCAAGCAATCTTTTATTTTGTTATCAATTTTTTGCAGTAAGATAGTGTGCTTGGCTTCCCGTAGGGCTAAAGCATAGGGTTTCTTTTGGGATATCCCTCTTCTACTATTAAAAGGAACTGGTTACTGTTTTGGATTGATTGTGTTTTGTTTCTTAGTTTTCATATTGATTTTTAATGTGTTTCTTTTTTTATTAGTTGGAGAATAACTTATGCTCCTTTTAAGTTGTGTATCTTCTTCCTCTACATATTATATTTCTTTTTCTACCAGAAAGAAAAAAAAATCCACATACTACTTTAAAGATAAATGAGAGAAGAGATTCATATGCAAATAAATTTGTCATGCAAAATAAATTTGTCATGCCATTAGCGAAATATTTATGCAAGCTCAGTGAAGCATGTATAATTACAACCAGCTTGTAAATGACCAACACTGATTGCAGAAACTTAATAACTGAGAGTTAATTAAATGTGGAGGTTCATGGGGTATGGGGCACTTCGCAGCCACAGTCTGATACTGTATTTATGGACCTATGGCAACTTTTTATTATAGGGGATGTACTTGTAGAATTGGATTTTCTACTTCCCTCGAAATAGAAAAAACTCGAGTTGTAAAAAGTAGTTCTTTATTTAGTGAAAAATTTTGCAGGTGGCTCCACATCACTCAACCATGTTAAAATTCTTTCTGTTCTTTCTTTCTTTATTGTTTTTACTTTATCTGTGTGCATTCCTAGAGTGATTTTTTAACAGAGTTCAATGTGAAAAACTAATCCAACTGAGCAACAACAGAGTTGCAAAAGGAGTAAAAGGCAACTGCTATTCAACATAGTTGACAGAAGGAAAAGTTTACCTGTTGTTCTTCCTTTTGCATATGCTGGCAAATGGAAGACTGGATTGTACCAATAGAAAAAATAAGTTCTTGAAATGGCTTGGAAATGTTTTCATCTTTCCCCACTAAAACATTCAACAAATGCAAAATAGAGCTGAAAAGATCATCTATGCTTTCGTGCTCAAGTGAATATGAACAAGCCACATTTTTAACATGAATGTCCAGCGCTAGAAAGACAACCTGCCAACAAATTTAAGTTTTTTTAATGGAAATTTAATAATGCGCATTGAATACATATATAGAACAAGGTAAAAAGGTTCAATAGATAACTTAAACTACCACTTAACTTTTTCTTAATAAGGAAAACTTTATCTGCTAAAGCACAAAGGGTGATGCCTTCGCATGACAATAGGCTGTTTACCAAATAAAATTGACTTAATTGTGTGTAAGCTTTCTTTTGTTCTATGTTACTTGAGCTTGGTTACAGGTTTCCAGCATAGGTATTAATATAAGTGTTTTGCTCATACTTTCTATAGTCAAAGATACAGGGACTTGGTCAATAAAAATCCACAAATAGGATACCTGTAATTAGATTCATTTGACATAAAAAATAATGAAAATAATTTAAGCTTTTAGGAAACTACAACAATGTCGGTTACATAACAAAATACAACTTTAGAACAAAAAAGCAGCAAACTCATATCTATGGAGAATGACAAAAAAGAATTACCTATTAATAATCTATAAAGAAGATTCAAATTTTAGACATTCAAGAAAACAAATCTCTATTTTATGTGTTTTTTCTATTCTAAGAGTGCTCATAATTGTCTTCATGTTATCATGTATCATATCCTCAGACTCTTTATCATCAAGTGTTTGACATGCAAAGCAAGTGCAAGACACAAATACAATACTCACACCAAGCTTGTGTCGTGTCCAATATGAGTATGGCACTAAATTGAAGGGACCAAGCAACATAGCTTTTATTTGGAAAGAATTGTCATTCAATTAAAAATTTAGTTTTGAGTTGCCCATCCACTACTAAGAAAGCAAAGGTTACTCCATCAAACCCTTCAATTTTTCTTTCCTTCCAAAATCAAACCATCCTAAGAATAGTCATAAGAACTAAACCAATACTTTCTTGACCTCCCTAGTTTGTATATGGAAAACAGATTAAAATTTCTATTTTAGTGTAATTGCAAATTGTACAGCTTTTACAGCTTTCACATATTCTATAGTACAAGGATTTATTATAAAAGCAAACAAATCAAGCAATTGACTAGACTTAATTAATCAGAAAACATATACCTAATAAATCGGTGAAACTAATCACTGATTCTCCACCAATTAATGTCAATCACAATCCTGCAATATCCAGAATCTCCACAATGATTTTCTACCTTTAAATATTAATCATAACCTCTTAAGATATGAGACTTCCACACTTCTCCTCAAGTTGGACTGTAGATATCGATCATATCCAATATGCGAAAAAAATATCAAAACTCTGCCAAAGAAGATCTTTGGTGAGAATGTCTGCCGTTTATCCTTTTGGTCCTACCATGTTGTGCAAGGTCGAGTATGATACTGATGGCCGTTTCGTTGTCACAGTAGAGCTTTATCGAGATAACTCTACTTCTATTTGCAACTCCTCTAATTTTTAACCATAATCCTTCACAAATTCCCTGTACTACTGCTCTAAATTCTGTTTCAACACTACTTCTCACCAAACATTTTGTTTTTTATTCCTCCATGTGACTAAGTTTCCTAGGCAAACATGCAATACCCGGGTTAGCAGACCTTCTATCTTTTATTAAACCTGCCCAATCTGCATATATAAACACATATATTCCCCTGGTTTCAGTCTTCTTAAAGAATAAACCATGTCCTAGAAAGTCTTTGAGATACTTGAGAACCTTGTAGAATGCATCTAAGTGAGTTCTAGTTGGAGAGTGCATGTGTTGACTGACCAAAACTGATTGTGAAGGTAATATCTAGTCGAGTATGTGACAACTAGATAAGCTTGCCAGCTACTCATAGGTGCCTTCCTATTTCAACTGGTTTCCTCCTTTTTCCATCTTCTCTGCCTCCATCAATATATTGCTCAGTTTGCATCCCGTCATACTTGTTTTAGTCAAGATGTCACATACATATTTTCACTGAGAAACTTTTATTCCTCTTGGCAACCTCCATTGTTAAGAAATATCGCATTTGCGCCAGGTCCTTCATTTTAAATTCAGTGGCCAAACTTTTCTTTAATCTCTCACTTTCTTCTATATTGTCACCTGTCAGAATTATATCACATGCATAAACCAGAACTATTTTCCTCCCGCTCTTAGAATAACGAAAGAAAATAGTGTGATCAGATTGCCCTTGGTGGTTTCCATGTCCTTTTATTACTTTAAAAAACCTATCATGTTATGATCTTGGCAATTATTTGAGCCCGTTTAGAGATTTTTTTAGTTTATAGACCTGATCTCTTCTTGTACCAAACCCAGGTGACATTGTCATGTACTTCTTTTCTTCTAAGTTCCCGTTAAGAAATGCATTCTTGGCATCCAGCTACTGAAATGGCCAATCTAGATAATGATCCAGATCTAGAACCAAATTGTTGGACTTATATCATGCAAAAGCACTGGGAGGTCATTCAAGAGTACAAGCAACAAAAGAAGAGTTACAGGCACTAATGTTTTGGAAAGGCATCAATAAGGATACTTGAAATTTATATCTGACAGTGTCATGTCTGTTAGCAAAACAAACCATAAAAAATTTTCTCTCCTGGTCTTCTCCAACCTATCTCTACCCTGGATAAATACACTCACTTTTATTGCTCTTAATAATAGATAGTTTTCTTCTCATGAATAAAAAAAGGAAATTGAATTGTAACCAGACATGCTTGGCGTGTGTGAGAACCTCTTTAGCGGCTGTACCCATGAAAGGATTAGGTACAAAACATTCTCTAGAATCTAATATCCATTTCATGTCAAAAAAATACAGTGGGAACTCTAAACTAAATAGAATTCTCATTTAATTATAATATGTATTAGTCATTTAATTATAATATGTATTAGAATATTATAAATTCAAAAATATTAAATAAAAATTCGAAATCTATTCTATTATCTATTTCTTATTCTATTTTTAATATTATTTTCTATTTTTATGATTATTTATTTATATTAACTAATAGTTGCTCAAGCCTACTTAGACAATGTTTCGAACTGCATAACCTTCCCACAAGCATTGTTAATGCTTGTGATTCTTATTTTCCTTGGCAATTATTTGCAAGATTGATTCCTACTTCAAAGGGTTGAGCTGCTTCACTCAAATAGCCACAATGAGGTTGGCAACCATTGTCTGAAGACTTACATTCGTTGCATGACAAGTCAATTCCCAAAAGTGGTTCACGTGTCTTCACTAATTGAATAGTAGTATAACACCATATTCCATGTGACTACCCAAACTATACCCTTCGAGATCCTTATTTTCCAAGTTATTCCCCTATTGAAGCAATTGACCGGTTTTTACCTGAGATGGAACTTACACTTGCTATCCTCAAGCAACACCTCCAAAAGGCCCAATACGGCATGAAACAAGCTAATAAACACTGCCTCCTAGGGAACACTATCTATGTTAGGCCTGCTCTATTGCCAAACCTCTCCCAACCATATACCAAACACAAATTATCCTCTCTCTCTTTATGGACCCTATCTCATTATGACTAAAATAGTCTAAGCTGCCTATCAATTGGACTTTCCTCTACCCAGCATGTTCATCATGCTGTAATGCATCATAGCTCAAACCCAACCTTAAACCTAATAACCCCTTCCTTTACACCTTCTTACTAATGACACGCTACTTAAACCTCACAACAACCTTCTATCATATCAACAAATGGTGAAACACAATGGTGTGGCTGCTAAGCATTTGCTTATCCAATGGTCACAACAACCTTCTATCATATCAACAAATGGTGAAACACAATGGTGTGGCTGCTAAGCATTTGCTTATCCAATGGTCAAGCGTGTAGCCAGCAATTGCCAACTTTCATCATCTCCATGATTTTCAAAACCAAATATCCCACATCCTCACCCTTGAGCACGACGGTGCTTCTAACAGGGGGATCTTAACGGGTAAGATAAAAACTCAAGGGACCTATTAGATTAGTCGATCGGTTTGAAAATGGTTCAACAGTATCAAATAC